ACCATGTCTTAAAAAAAAAAAAAAAAATGACAAGAACGAAAAAAGTGTTAGGAACGTAGAGATGTCGCTTAGTACAAGGGTCCTGGGCTTATCCCCAGTATCACACACACACAACAAAACAGAAAAAGAGTAGTGCACTTTACAAACTATATATTTGTTATATCACACTCAGAGGGCAGCTCTTCGTAGCATTTTCTTAAAGGTGAGAAGAATGAATCAAAAGCTTGCCAAGGATGCCACAGCTAGTTCCAAAGGAGGCTTCAATTTCTCTCTCAAGCCACTGGTTCCATTCTTGCTTTAGGGCTGGCCTCCTGAGATGGGGCTGCTCATTGGGAAGTGGTATTTTTGGCCTGACGCAGTGGCCTTCGGGCTTCCTGGCAGCGTAAACTTTACTCCCTTCTATACACTGTCGCTGGGAGCCTGGGTGAATGGGCAGAGAGGATCTACTCACCACACGACGGGTCTGTGTAGGCACTGCTGCTCCCGGCACGCAGCAGCCTCGGAGTCTGCTGTGACCTGAGATTTCTGGAGAAGAGTTCAGGGATTTTCAACTCTGGCTTTGCAAACTATTCAGACCACTTCCATTAATATCAAGGGGGTAGGTGTAAAGCTCATATAAATATTTGGGACAACTGTATATAAGGATTCCCTCTTTCAGTATTTGCCAAGGTCGTCCTGTTTCTGCAAGGAAGTTTTTCTAGAGCTCTGCAGGGTCTGGCGATGGTAATTACAGATGACAGTCATGGGGTCCTTTTTTCAGGAAGTGGCAGATTAATAAGGGGAACCACTCTGTCTATTCTTGCAGAGGGACAGATGAATTCTTCTGGGCATGGTAGAAAAGGACTTCACCAAGGTATAATTGTATTAGGCAGCTCTCCCGTCACTGGCACATAATACCCCAAACTCACAATTTAAAGGAAGAGAGGTTTAATTTAATCATCGTTCAGGGGATTCCGTCCATGGCCAGCTGGTTCCCAGGCAGGAACATCAAGGTGGGAGGGATGGTGTCGAAAGCTGCTCCCCTCATGACAGCCAGGAAGTGACGGAGAAGGCGGGAGGGGGCGGAGCTCCAAAGGCACTGCCCGCTGACTTGCCTCTTCCGACCAGACCCCACCTCCTGAATGCGCATTTAGCTCTGCACTCTTCCGTGGACCGATCTGCCGACGAGTTTAGCATGTCTACTGTCCAGTCACCCAAAAGCCCACCGCTGAACACACCCGAGGCCTTTGGGGGACATTCTAGATCTAAACCATAACAGTAACATTAGCACTATTTTGAAGGACAAATACAAGTTCTCCAGCACATTCATCGGAGTACTTTAGGCTGAAGGAACAGGATGAGCAGAGTTCAGGGTGCCAGGTGCATGGCGGCAGGGGGGCCGGAGATGACGAGACTGAAAACAAAGGGCAGAGCCATGTATGGGGAAATGTTAAATGCCACCAGAGGGATTTGGCTTTGTCCTTTAAGTGAAAGAAATCATATAAAGTTTTGAGCAGAGGCTGGACATAGATCCTGAGAAGGGGCCAGCTGGTTTTTGGTAGATGTCAAAGTTGATGTTTGGAGTGAAAGGGGACCCAAAGAACTGGTGATCGAAAGGCCGTGTGGGGTCATGTCGTTCTTGTTTTTCTTTTCTTCCTCATCTTTTAACATGTTTAACCTCAACCTGTCAAGAGAGTTAAAAGCCTAAAGTTGTCATAACTGCATCCCAGCCCTAACCTCATTTTGTCCCCCAGTGCATTGAATGAAAGCTGCACTGCAGTAATAGCTATTATAATTAAAAAGATAATCTGTTGGCTCTCAAAAACGCTTAACCATATTAGAAACCACACTTCTGGCAGAGAATCTCTTTTGCTTTTTAGTATCGGGAGCTGAAAAATCTAACTCTACCAGCACCAGAAAGACTGACCGAAAGTACTCATTTAATGGGGGTGTGTGTCACAGTGTTAAAAAACCCCTAAAAATTAAATGGTTTCCAGATGACAGTGAACAAGTGAAAATTATTCATCTATTAGGCAAATTAATATTTCATTCCCTTAGCAATTGAACAGGAGTCTGGAATGGTGGGGCCAACTATAAATATGGCTCAAGGAGACCAGAGCAAAGCAGCTGTATTTCTGAAAAGAACAAAGAACTTTCATAGTGCAGTCGTGTAATGCATTGAAAAGCAGGGTCGCAGAAGGATTCACAAATTAGTCATGTTCAAAGATATAGGGTTATGGATTACATAATTCTAAACACACCATGCTTATGAATTCTGCTTAGCACCAAGGGTGACACTTTCAATAACAAATCAAAGTTCTCTCTCCTTTAAAACCTAGTCACTTAAAATCTAAAATAAAATAGTGATACCAAGTGAATTCCTTACAATAGTCCTTCTTTTAAAAGTCCCACAGGGCTAAGAAGGCTGCCTATAGAGAATAAAGATTTCTACAGTAACATTTATAAGCAGAGATATATTTTGTGGATACCACTTGTAAAAAGATTTTTAAAACTCACACGACATTTGCACACACATACATCAGACACTCCATCCCCTCTTCCCCAAGAAATATCTTCAACGAGGTCAGATGCAGCCAAAAAAATAACGCCTCCTTAAAGCACTGGTGACTGTCCTTAATTATAGCTAAAGTCCTTCTCAAAATGGGCAATGCCATGTTTACCTGGATTTAAGAATCCTGAAGGCACAAAATGCATTCCTAGGATTCAGTTAGGTACATTACTGCGATGTTCTGATTCTCCCTACGGAAGTGCTTTAGTTGTCCTTGGGTAAACTGCCCACCCCGACCCCTCTGACTCCATCATCTGGGGCCTCATGCCAATAAAGCATGCCATTCCCCCTCACCGCTGCAAACTAGAGCCAATGGAACATCATTTTCTATAGATCAACACTGATGAGCCATGTGAGACTAATATTGTCAGCGTGTCGTACATATTTACACAACCGGAATACGGAAGAAATTTTCACAAGAACAAAAATCATCATGCAGTACCGAAGGGTCGGAGGCGAGATGGTAACCACATGACCCGGAGGGACTGCTGATTCTTGACTCCAAGCCTTCTACTGCAGGTTTACCGACTCACAAGTTTACCGACTGCAGCACGATTTGAAATCACAGCACCAACTCCACGTCAACACGATCCCTCTTGGGCTGCAGACTGTGTTTACGAAGGGCGAAGAGTTCATTTTGCATGTGAATATTACATCACAGACACTGGCTCTACATAAATCCTTTCAACAAAACTCCAAGCCAGAGTACCAGGGAGCCTCGATGGTTGGAAGCAGAGAAAGGAGCAAACTGCCACCCGAAGAGATGAGCTGCAGTCTGGACGCGTGGGACACTTACTAATTGGATGTTTTAAGTTTCCTTTGGAAATTCCATGTAATCAACTTTTACTGCCATCCCTGCAGTGGGTAGATGAACCTTCCCACTTAGTGATAGCTCAGATACTATTTTCTTGATCAGAATACAAAATAAGAGCCATGGTCACACAGAATAAATGCCCTCAATGCGTTTACAGTGCAAACTCGTTCCACTTTCTCCTCTGGAATTTTTTTTTCTTCAGCAGCATTGCCTCCCTGCATTTCTTTAAGACACCTGAGAAAGGAGAGGCTCGTGGAGACACCGCTCAAATGCAGCAGGCCTGTGCTCTCGAGACTTCTACAGTACGTCCGCTGCTGTCAAAGGTCCGAGGTTTTCCTTAGAGCACTGGGGTCAAACTTGAAACTCAGAAAGGCTCTGGACGAAAAGAGGGACTTGCCGTGTCCGTTACCTGTGACAGACTGTTCCTCAGGACGTTCTAGCAGCTGGCCTTGAGTGGAGCGAGTCAAGTCGTACACAGCATCTGCTTCCGGATTATCCGGAAGTGTTCGTGGATGCAGTTTCTTTTCACATTTCGCCAGTGGATTCTGCTGCTTTGCTAGCAGACTGTGGTTCCCGTTAGTTCTTTTCTTTCGATTTTTTTTTTTTTTTTGAGACAGGGTCTCACTATGTAGTTGAGGCTGACCTGGAACTCGCCATGTAGCCCGGGCTGGTCTCGAACTCACTCATTGTGATTCTCCTGCCTCAGCCTCCCCAGTGCTGGGATTACAGGCGTGCGCCACCACGCTTGGCATCTTTTCTTTTGATTGGGTGAGTCTTGATGCTGTTTTCTGCCATTTCTCCTCATACTCTTTGCTTTTAACAGGTCAGACGTTTCAGAATGGTTATTATATGGTTTTCGCTGTACTGGCTGTCTGTGCTTTACCCACTGGTCTCCAGGAGAACCTTCAGGACATAAGTGCTGGCTGTGGAGGAATTTGGCTCGACTCAGTTTTTCCACAGTGGGTTTGGCTGGTGTGCTACCAGCTGAGGAAAACCCATTGTCACTGTCTGAGGAACCTCCAAATCTTCGAGAAAGCCAGTCCCTTACTAGCCCAATAAAGGGAATGGCCGTAAAAATTTGTGTGGTGTCAAACCAAGTTTGGATTTGGGGGCCAGGGTGATTTCTCAATGGAGAGCCACTCGATGTTCCGAATTTCTCTTCTGGCTTTGGGGTTAAATTTTGTGTTTTCTTGGAATTCCTGGAGTGATGTACAAAGGAGCAAGTTGGTCACTGATTCTCAGCTCAGTGTAATCATCCTTACAGATATAGTCTTTGATATCAAAAGCAGTTCCTTCAAAGACCCTGGAGCAGCACAGAACCAGTAGTACCTGCAGGGGTCATCCAGGGCGCTGCTGGGAATCTCCACCTGTCTGGTCTCCAGGATGAGGACCTACAGCTGTGGCCCAGTGCATCCCTGCTCCGCCGGCGACTGAGGTGCAGCACGGAGACCCCAGCTCACCAGACGGCAGCCACAGCAGCAGTGGCGACCACTCCGGCAAAAGCGAGAATGGTTTTTCTCAGCAGAGAAACTATTCAGTAAGAATAGTTAAGAGGATGGCCTCAAAGTGCATCCATTCAGCTATAAATGTCTCTAGTTTATCATTCTTTATGTCTGAGTAGTACTCCAAAAAACTAATAGTGTAAATAAGGTTCAAATGGTATAATTGAGTGTGAAATAGGTAGAAAATAGCTAAAGGGGAAGTGGGAAGGGGAAGGGAAAGGAAATAAGGGAAATGAAAAAATATGGAAAAATGAAAAAATGGAAACAAAGTCTTTGTAAATAGGGAAGGGTGAAGGGAGGGCAGGGGTGTGGGGGAAAAACAAGAACCAAGATACATCATGTAAAGGTACAAGATCCCAATGATAAATGCAACTGTATTGCTTGCTTTAAAAGTACCAGTAAACTTCATGGAAAAAAAAAAAAGAGAGGGGGAAGGTGCGGTCGGTCCTGCAGTTCTTTGGGAGGACTGTAAGCTCCCAGACTGTTTGACTCACATTCATATAATAATCAGACAAGAACCGTGATTTGACAATGTGGGGCATTTTTTGGAGGTCCAGTCCAATGTTCCTAGTCCTCACCACCAGGTAAGGTATTAGTTTGTAAATCTGTAATTCTAATAGAAATATATGTTTGAAATCATAAAGAAACACATGCTTCTCAAAAAAATAATTGCAGACAAGAATAAATTAGGTTCAACTCCACCTTGCTTGTTGGCCCAGATCTGCCATCCGGCTTCAGCTTTGGGCTCAGCCTTTGGAAGGTTGGTTTGGATGCTGGTTCAGGGTCATTGCTGGATCCCTTCTGTGTGTGGTCAGCAGCCGTGTAATCATCACGACATCAGCAGTGAGGAGACAAAGGCATGGCATCAGGTTCATTAGTAGCTAAACATGCACGTAAGATGGAGACGTGTCCCCTAGGTGGAACTTGGCATTGAGTCCCCTCTTGTGCTTTCTATGTGCAAATCCCGTCTACCCATTGAGGTTAAAATGTACTTTGTTACTGGGAGACAGAGGTTACTGTAGTAATGGTGAGGGTGGAAGCTTTTTATTTCATGCACAAACATGATTATGGACTTTCAAATAGTTAAAGAGAGAAAGCTGACTCTTAATATGCACGATAGGGGAGTTTGCCAATCTGACAACTTTAAAGAAAACATTTTATCTTTCTCTCCTATTTGGGAACCAAAAATATTACAAAAACCTAGAAAAAAATATAAAAGGTAGATTAGAGCCTGCCACAAAATCTCATTTTTACAGACTTCTCTGTTGTAATAATATTCATGACATTAAAGCAAACAACCTTTCAGAACTGTTTTTAATTTTTTAAACATTACATTTGTGTTAGAGCAGGAATCTTTCAAAAAAAAGTCCCATCTGAGGATCTTTCACATCTTGGGAGGAGGAATAAAAGACAGGAAGTCAATTTTGCCACCTAAAATTCCCAGAAGAGGAAACATGCCACAATCACAACCAATGTGTAAGGTAAATGGTCCTTGATTTAGACAGGAGAGGGTATGAAAATCAAGAAAAGTAGACAGAACTGAGACTTTCCTCAAAATATTTTGCTCCTTGCCTACCTTGGTTGGAGGCAACCATTTCTAAGCACTTATGTGGGGAGTGGAGGGGGTCACAGAATACTCTTGTAAGTATTCTTACAGTCTGGACAAACTATTTCTGTACCTCACGCCAGCCCTTACAATTTCATTATAGTTTTAATACAACTTGTAATAATCAAGTTTTTCTATAAAGTTATGCATGGGATTTGGCTTCTTCTTGGCTGCATTTTGCCACTTGACCATTTGTATTGAGCTGGAATTTACCTCTAACTGCAATATACCTTTAAATATAATTGAAAATATTTTCTCATTGTCAGTGTTGTTGCTTCCTCGGATCACCACAGGGGCTCAGGGTCTGGTGTATATTCTTTCAGACTGTTGAAACATAGCTATAAAATATTTGCACTTTATTTTGCAGCAGTGGGATCATATCATCATACTGTCCTGTAGTTTACTGTGTTAACATGAAATAATTTAACACAAACATCTTTCCCACGGAGCTACACTGGCTCTCTCTGTCTTCTGTATTGTAATGATTGCATGTATTCCTGTGAATGGATGTGGCATTATTTGTTTACTCCACCTCCAATTAAAGACCATTTAAACTATTTCCAATTTGGATCCATTGTAAAGAATCCTGCCGTAAACGTTTGTGTATTTTTGTGAGCATGGATTATTTCTTTGCTATGTATGGATATGTGTGCATATGTATCTCTCTCTCTCTCTCTCTATATATATATATATATATATACACATATATATTTTATATGTCTTGCCGTATTGTGTTCTGGAAATATTGCATCAATTAAAATTCCCACCCACAGTGTATATGAAGAAGCCTGTTTCCCTCATCATCTGCCTTTTGTATCTTTGCCAACATTATGGGAAATATGGTCTCTTGGTATTTTAATATGCATCTTGTATTAGCAGTAAGCTTGGACCTTTTTGATGTGCTGCTTCATTTTCGACTACTTTTAATCACAGAAGACACGATATCATCCTAAGTGAAGGACAAACGCAAACATGTTGGTGTGATATTGTGGTTTTAGATGATTCTATCTACGTGGACCCTCTGATGTACCTACTCGTGCCACTCATCACAGTAGTAAAATTACTTTTAGTGCCTATTTTCAATTAACCCTCATAGTAACCCCGAGAAGGATTCATCATTACGAACATTCCCACCTGTGGAAAGATGGGGCTCAGAGCCAGCTGACTACTAAGGATCTTTTTTCTTTGGTACTGGGGATTGAACTTTCACTAACGATCTTAAGAGTGAAACATCAGGTGTAGGATTTGAAGTGCAATATCCCTTTTGCGGGGGCACCAGGGATAGAACCCACGCTAAGCATGTGCTCTGTCACTGGGCTACACCACCTGCCAAAATTCACTGTCCTGAGTCCAGTCCAAGTCTTCATTCAACTTTACCACATTGTTGTGCTACTGAAAAATTAAATCCAGATTCCTGGGCAGACATTTTTCAAGGAGTAAAACCCACTTCACTTACTGAGCCCAGAAATATAAAATCTAATCTCACTGAGTCCTTGTAACAACTCTCTGAGGGAAGGTGGGGGAAGTAAACGCTGTCAGAGAGGCAGGGTCTGAACTTGGAAGACTAACGGGCGTCCACTCCTACGACTGCAGTGCCACATAGCTCCTCATGCCGGCCAGCACAGTGCCTTCCTTCCCAACCTGCAGCTGGTCACAGGAAGACTCAAAATTTATTCACAGGGTACAAGGTGAGACGTAAGGCAGCACAGTCAGGGTGAACACACAGGCATTTGGGGTAGGGCATTCTTTGTGCAGGATTGGCTCCTGCATTGCCAGAGGTTTGTTTCCCAGGTTCTTTTCTTCTAAAGACCACCAGTGTCTCTCAGGTACTCCACTGGCTGGACTTGCTTTCTGGGCTGAGAACTACTGGGCCTGATTGTGGTGTGTTTATCTCTTGGCCAGTGTGGTTGTGTCATGCCTGGCATGGCTGTACTGTTCAGCCTGGCCTTCTTGCACGGGGACTTGGTTTTGAGGCGATCTGCAAAAGCTACAGGGTTTCTGGGTCTTTCTCTGAGGCACATCCTTAGCAGATCTCCCGATGCTCTGTTTGCAGACAATCAATAAATGTCAATACACACTTCTGACAGACGTCAGCGTGTCTGCTGCTCTCGCCCATAGCAGTCTCTTTTTCAGGCCTCAATGTTTTTCTTCCTTCTGAGTAGCAGGAGCGGGGATCACCAGCTCTGAATCCTGTTGCTAGGGGGAAAGGCTTGTGAAGGCTGAAACCCATGTTCTGTGGGTTGGCTCCTTGGGGACCCAGCCTGGCCCAGTCCTGCTGACCCTGAGAGCAGGAGCCTAGGCTCAGCTGCACCCCTCTGCCAAGTTCATGGCATGACCAGTGCTACACTGTGAGCTCATGCGACACTCAGAAGGGACTGGGCCTCTTGGGTGCGGTCAGTGGAGCATCAGGATACCCAAGGGAGGAAAAGGCCATGAGTGGCTACTTGGGGCTTGGCCTCTGGCCTGCCACTGTCTCTGGTCAGCCAGCTATGCCCACCAGAGTGGCTCTGTGGGCAAGCTTTTAAAAGGAGAGCCAGCAGCACAGTGGTAGTGGTATTTAGACCATTGCTTATTTCCAGTTTGCCCAGCAGAGAGCCTGCTATTGATGCAACCAGAAATGTGTGCAGGTAAAGGTAATTCTGGAAACAGAAAGTTGACAGTGTCTAGGTTTCCAGCAACTGGAAACATGCACTTTCTCAGTTCTCCTTCCTTACTTGAGATGGGAAATGGTTTCTTCTCTTCTGCTGCTGTTTTCAGCTTGAATATACAACAAATCCCACTGTTCAAAGCAACTGGCTTTAAGATGGATGCATACTCAAGATATTCTAAATACTAGGTACATCTCTCACCCCATGGGAGGCTCCTGCCCAGGAGGGCGATAGCACTGGGTGATGAAAAAGCTTCTTCCTAATGTGCTCCAGATGGTCCTGCTTCCTCTGCTGGGAAAATGTAAGCAGAGTTTCCTGTCAAGGCTCAGGGACTCTGGGAATTCACAGAGGCTCTTCCTAGTGGTCTTCTCCTGGGAGGTGTATGGCAGGGCTTGGAGACCCTCTGAGGCATAGACTTCTCATCCTGCTCTTGGATCTGTTTGCCCCGTGTGCTCCCTGCCCTCCTCTGTGACATGCTCTTAAACTGGGGTGCTTTGTGGCTCAGGAGCACCGTCGAGTCCTTTGTTACCTGAAGATATTGGTACTTAGGGCAGCGCCTGCATCTTTGGAGAGAGATGGGAGGGGATGCAAAGGTTCCATCCTGTGTGCTGCATCCACTCACTTGCTGTTAATTTTGTGCCTTTGTCTTCATGCAGACACGGGCCACAGTCACACTAGAAAAGCCTTCAGACCTGTTGGATGTTGGAGACCCAGAGAGTTGACTGGGACAGGCAGGTACTCTCTAAATGCTGTATGCTGTGGACCAGTGAGCAC